GGTTTGTGTTTCTGATTTCTCTATCATCGCGTGTTTGCTTTATATTCATGAGGTTTCTTTTTGGTATATCCTTTATCTACATCATTAGCCACTACATAGATAAAAAAAAAAAATGATTTGGTGGAATTTTTCGTGGCTTTTAGTGAAGCCAACTTATCACACGCTCTTTCTTCTCGTCTAATAACTCCATTATAATGTAACATTGATCACTTGTAGGTATACTTCACAGTTTATAGGCACCTAAAAGAACTGTTACATTCATATGGTATGTTTCAATATCCTCAGAATATAAAATTTGGTGATCGATATAAGCTCATGAGTTTCTAGAGATTTTACCGGAAGTTGAACAATTTGAATCATTATTTTGCTCGAATATATTTGGCTTTAAAAAAATAACAAAATTATGTGATGAAACAGAGGGTAGGAAGGATCAGCTTTCAATTGCATCAAACATGATAGCTGCTGCAGGAGCTGGTGCTGCAACATCTATCACAACAAATCCATTGTGGGTGGTTAAGACACGTCTACAAGTAGGTTGAATTTATTATAATTAATCATTTTTTCTGTCTTCATTATTATTATTATTGTTATTATTATTTGCAGTAGTATCTTGTATATTCTGTTTTACCAGGTTAACTTGAAGCTAATTTGACTTCATATAATTTACTCAGACACAAGGGATGAGACAAGGTGTGGTTCCTTACAAGAATATATTTTCTGCCTTGAGACGAATAGCACATGAAGAAGGATTTCGAGGATGGTACAGGTTAGTCCTTGTTTTGTGGGCATATAAAGTGAAAATTTGTTATAAAAGCATTCATGAAAGGTTAACAAATAATGGTTTTTTCGCAATTTCTTCCCTCATTTCAACATACCTTTGGATAAGATGATTCTTTCAGCCCTAAAATTATATTTGTATATTAATTTCAATTGCAAATTTTCTGAACTAGTTAACTTTTAGTTTTTATTCTCCCATTGCTTTTCACAGTGGCCTTCTGCCTTCGTTGGCTGGGATCAGTCATGTGGCCATCCAATTCCCGGCATATGAAAGAATAAAATTCTACTTAGCTAAACGAGGTAAGTTTGTGAATATCATTTATCCATACCTTTTTTGTACTGAATTTTACTTTGTAGTTCTATCGATTGTGTGTTAAAACTGTAAGAAAGGNTTAGGGCCTATTTATTATTGTCTATTAATATATACAGAGATGATGATATTTACTTGAAATTGCGACTAAAAATTAGCAAAAAAACATTTGGTTTCCCGCCTAAAGTATTTACTATAATGAGTAATATTTTTGCCCAAAAATTTGAAAATTCTCCCTAAATTAATGTACAGAATCATTTTAGTCAAATATTGCGGCTATTATCTTTATTAGTTGCATGATTTAAATTTGAAATATAATATATTGACAGAACTTGCAGCTATTACCTTTATTAGTTGCATGGTTTAAATTGGTATATAATATATTGAAAAAAAATAAAAAGATTTTTATTTAAATTTAAAAATAAAATATAATTATTCATAGCTTACGGGTCAACATTAACTTAGACGTTAACGAAATAGTCAATTATTTATAGTTTAATAAATTATTCAACTACTTATTTTTTTTTTATTTGAATAGTTTACACAATAATAAATTATTTTAAGTAATGAAACAATATAAATTTTATATTTATACTTTTTATTCACATAGGTTGTTAAATATATGATAACATTTTACCAAAATAACTATTTTATGGAATCACATATAGTCAAATCGATTTTCTGAATAAAAATTTTGAAATGATACTTATTTTGAAACGAATATAATGTAATTTATTATCAGTTATGTGCACCGCACGAGTTGTATACTAATTTTAAATATTTATTTTTATGTAATTTCACACAATTTAAACTTTATATAACATTTTCAATAAATTAATATAGGTAAATTGTAGTACATATTGATTCCATATTTTTAATTTATAAATATTATTTAATAAGAATTTTTAATTTATAAATATTAATGAATATCTCTTAACTCATACTCCCTCTTATTTTTATTATTTGTCATCCTAGCTTAATTGATCATTTGTTAAATAAATGTCGTTTTTAGCTATTTTGTACATTTTCCATTATTACCCTCATCTAACTAATAAATACACTACGTCTTTTCATATTCACTCTCCATCTTTTCTCAAAACATCAATCTCTATCCTCATTAATGAGGGTTATTATTGACAAAAAAATATTCTTAATTATTGTGCAACTTCTCAAAACGACAGTTATTAAAAATAGGAGGGAGTACTAGTTATCTACAAACTCAGTTTTGTTTTCCTTTTTCTTTCCCAATGTGGAAGAGAATAAAAGCTGTGATCAGCTCAACTCCTGGGAAGTTGCAATTGCCTCGTCACTTTCGAAAGTAGTTGCTTCCGTGTTGACATATCCTCATGAGGTATACACTTGAAACCTTTTTTAGTTTGGATTGTAAAGTGTACATGGTTGAGAAAATATTTAAAATATCTCTTTAACGTCTTAACTGCTCGTCATTCGTATTTGGTAAAAAAGATAAACTAAATTTGATTTCTAGACTTATTTTTGACTAATTTATTTACAAAACTACCATCACTAATCGTGTGGTACTATCTCTAAAACTCCTTATTTTATCTATCCGCATCAATAA